GTATTCCATTTCTTTGCGTTTCTTGACTTTTTGGTCGGTGTTCAGGGGATGCTGGGTTTTTCTTGCTGTATTCATGGTTGGTGAACTTAGAAAAACAATTTAATCAATACCTTAGAAAAATAAGCTATACATGTGGTATTGCGCCGTGGTCGCCGTTGTTTGTCTTGTTTGTGCATGATCTAAAGCGGGCGTGTGGGGGGAAATATTTTTTATAACGGAATCTCAGTCGTTTTTTTTTTGTTTTGCACCATTTACACCACTATACAATGTTTTATTTTGCAATGTTTGCGTAGTTGAACTTTTTCGAACTTTAACACTGCAAAAACGAATTAATCAGTTAATAAGCTATACGTATTGTTGTGGTTTTGCGCCGTTTTGTTCTGTTTGTGCATGATCTAAATCGGCTGGGTGGGAAAGAATATTTCGACAATATATCAGATTTTGTCATTTTCGTTTTGCACAATTCTTTTGCAATGTTTGCGTAATTGAACTTTTGTAAAAATAAAAAAAAAACAAAAAAAAAACAAAGCGGGCGGGTGGGAGGACAAAGTTTTCAAACATATCTAACAAACACATGCCTACGTTTTTTGTGTTAGTTCGTTGCTTGTATAATTGAAACTATGGTTTGATAAAACGCAGTGGGTGGGTGGGAGGACAAGGTTTTTAATCATACATCTATATGTTGTTTCGCATACTGGTTATCCATGTTTGTAGATATGAAGCTTATTGTTGTATAAAACAAAGTGGGGAGGAAGTGGTTTTTGTAATGCTTTTCCTATGTACGAAAACGTGAGCTATGGTGAGCTTTCTTCTAACCGAAAGTCAATCAGCATTTCGCTTTCCTTTTCAAATCGAGGGCTTAAACTCATTCCAAATCCTTTTCTCTCTTACATATGAGGATTGGTTTTATTGCTATTATCTTTTATTGCTTTTTTTTTTATTGCTATTTGTATGGAAACAAAAACGAAAGCAGGCCTGTGTCCAGAAATATATATTTCTGTTGTATCGAGTTTTGATCATAAATATTTTTATGAATGTCATTAGAATAAATAGTTTAGGCAATAAATTGTTCAGAACACTGCATTTCATAAACACACCATCTTTCTCATTGAAGACAGTCGTATCAACACAATGTGTATTTGAAAGGGAAAAAAATCGCATAAAAGCAGAAGTATGAAGAGTATTCGGTCGTCATCGCGCGCAGGATGAATAACGCTACTCTCAACCTACACCCCTCGAGTGGGGGAACATTCATTAAATCGGTGTTATTTCCTACTTAGGCGCGGGCAATGCTTATTGAATATAGGAATTCCATCGCCACTATGACGCTCATGTATCTGTGTAAAGCCAGTGGGAGGTTACATACGTGCATTCGACTCATGGAAGTTTGACACATGAATAAAAAACAACAGTAGTAGTTGAAGAGCTGTGGAGAAGTTATATGTGTGCTCATGAGAAGTACCCAGGATTTCACACCGATGGAAAATGACTAAATTCATTGACTTGTGTGAGGAGATTTTCGTCGCCGCGCTCGATTGAGATTCAGGGGAACCCCACATAATTTTGTTTGCTATGAATCTGCACAGTTCTGAAGGTTTCGACGATGTACAACTTTTTGTTAGAAACTGTGTTAAATTTTGATGTCGGTTTGGGTGTTTGTGGGGCTGTCCGTCCACAAAACTTTATGACTACGAAAAAGGTAGTGATATGGAAAACCCAGCTCTCACATTTCCTTATATATAAAGCAGTAAATTGGTGGGCAGATTACCCATCGCCAACAGGGTTTCTCAGCGGGGACCACGGCCCCTCTATATCGCGCGATCTTTCGCGACTAGCATCCAATATAGCTCGCTTTCTCTGAAGTATTTGGAAAACGAATCGGCCCACCGAGACGCCAAACGTCTTGATGGTCTTGTTTCATTTCTCGGAAGCCACTCTGTGGCTCGGAGACTCCATCTTCTATTTGTTCGACGAAGTAGATGACTGGACCGGCGGTGCCTTGAATGTGCCGTGTAACGAATCGGCTCTTTCAAATGTGATTCCTTCAATCAACTTCTTTCTAGCGTGAGATGAGAAGTTCTTGTGGCTCTAGCGCTTATTTTATTGCCAGTCCACGTTTCACTCGCATAACGCATCGCTAGCAGTACTGAGGCGTTGAATATCGATGCCTTGGGATGGCTGACCTGGTCTGTCGCTTCACGGATTGAACGGAAAGCTGCCCGTGCAGCACGTCTTCTTCGATTTACTTCCGTAGCAATACTGTTCATCATGTCCAGCTCTCTTCTCAGATACACTTAGGACTTTTCCCTTTCATTTTACTATCCCGTATCGCACCATTTGTTCATCAATTGCGTTTTTTGGACATGTTCGTCTCCAAGCCAATTCGCCGGCTCACCGCATTGAGTTCGTTGGCCATCTTTCCCATTTCAATCGTGCTATTGGATAAACCGTTCATCTTGTTCCTGCACCTATATCAACAAAACACGAATCTAAAATTTAAAACATTGCAACATCTGTTCAACATCATCATCAACATCATCTGTTGCAACAACAACATAAAACAATCAAAATCTTAAATTATTTAAACGTATCAAGACGATATCATCAGCGAAGCGGTGGTTACTGGCGTTTTCTTCCTAGTCGAGGTTCAACATCGCTTACTGCAACGTTGCGTGAAAATCCTTGGGGTTATTGTATTTCCTTGTCGTACTTTTTTCCAAGGGCAGAGGTGGTGTAGTGGCAAGTGGCGCACTATCTCACACGGACGGTCGGGGGTCGAATCACGGATCGATACCCGCCTAGGCCAACCAAGCCTTCCATCCCTCCGGGGTCGGTTAATTGGCACCAGATTCGTCGGGGAGAATAAAAGCACTGACTTGTACTTCGGCTGGCCACCGCAATTCATTGTATAGGCCACATACGCACTTATTACGGCACTACGATTCTGAATGCTACCGAGTGCAGGGGCGCATCCCTCTGACGGGATTGATTAACGCCAAGATTTTGAACTTTTTATTGACCTCTTTTCCAACTGGAATCCTCAGCTTTCGATCAAACAACTGAATGAATGCTTATGTCTTTAAAAGGCACTGTACGAGCAGGGGAAATTAAGATCAACTCAGGCTTGCACAAGAGCATTTAAAGCAGCGTTGACCTCCACAGAGTCAGATGCCTTCTTGTAATCCCGAAGAAGGGCCAAGGCGATGCTCTGGACTTCTCGTACTAAGCTGAGTGACACTTAGGATATTGTCCATGCACTAGGCACGAAAAGTTTTTCTGAATTCGATCTGCTCCACTGGCTGGTATTTATCCATCTATGCGAAGGAGCAGATTTTTCGTGAACGAGTTCATCACAAGAGGCTGATGGGACGATAGTTGGAGATGTTCGTCCCCTAACCTTTCTTAAGTAGGAGAATGGCTTTTGATTCTTTCCATTGCTCTAAAAACCTCAATTTGAGATAGTGATTGAAGTGTTCCGCAAGAAGGATTCGAATAAAGGTACTTAAAGAACAGAGACAATCCGCTGGGATATTGTCCAGGCCTGGAGCTGTTCCTTTGTTCGCTTCTTATCGCATTTGCTACTTCCGATCCTATGATAGCGTGAGGCTCTTCATAAGGTAGCATCAAGTGTTCAGGCACAAAGATGGAGGGACAAAAGAGTTTGGTGTAGAAATGGTGTAGAAATCTTAAGCGATATTCTTCATCAAACTACTAAATGTTCTTGTACTTCCTTTCTTTTCCATGTCCGTGGGAGCCGACATAATAATTTTCTCATCGTTGGGATCTCTTTTGCATCTCTTGGTGCTCGATCTTGCTTTGTCTGCTTCTGGTAAAGTGGTTCTCCAATACAGTGAGCGAGCGCGCCCAGTGGAGCGGCTGATATCATGTTACGCGAAACGACGTCAGATAATTAGTTTATCTCCAAGGCATCAATACAGGGTGAGGAGGTAAGATGACCCGTTGATATTTTGAAGCTACATCATTAGACAATAAACGCACATACGAGCGATGGGCAAGGAACTGTTATACAAAGACTCTACAACGGCAACATGATACAAATCAGAGTGTAGTTGTCGCCAGACGTCTCCTCGTTGCCTGGGCTTGGAGACTCCGTCCTAAAAGGTTAAGCCATACGGAGGTTTTGCAGTGCTTAGACAGTAAACTAGACCGATAATGTAAGATGCGTCCACGCTTACACAACCCCACATTTACACCAAGTCCCTAAGGATAAACTGGCCGTGGCGGCATCGCGTGTTTGCTACATTGACCCGTATGTAATCGTCCAGGAGGTCCTGAATGAATGCGGAAAAGTTTGTTCTGGTTATTAGAAGGATTACATCTTACTTTTCACGTCCTTGGACGGAATCCACGGTGGTTAGCTGCTCAACGCCGAGTTATTCGAGAAGATGGCGTGTCTACTCTTTGTAAAAGGAGATTACGCAGATCTGTACTGGTTGGATGTGATCCCCCTAGCAGCAGTTCGATTAATCGAACGCAGGAGTGAGCCTCGTCCGTGCTAAAGTGCGACTTATTCAATATTGAGAAACATAAAGGGTATTTCCGGGGTGGGGAAACGCATAGCAGACAGCAAGAGTTGTCGCGACTCGGGATCGGTAACGTTAAGGAGGGTGCCACTGTACGCCACAAAGTTGGGGAGAGCGTTCAGAGCGGGGTGCGTCCTGAGATCGTAACCAGGGGAGGCAACGGGGCGGCTGCGGCTTCGACTAGGGCACTCATGACGCTACGAGCGTCGAAACGAAGTGGAACGAAGCTCGGTGGCAACGAGTGTGGGGCTCAAGTTGGTGTATGTCGTCAATGTGACGCTGCTTCGCGCTGCGGTGTCCGACAAACGAACAACCTCAAGATGAGCGAAGTCATCGAGGTGCAATAAAGTCTCTGTAAATTGGGGAACCGCCGCATTAGTAGTTGCTCTCACAACTACTATCGATGATTGTCGCGACGCGATGAACGCCGCTATTGTAGCACCATCACCACCATCGTCATACCTGTACCGAAAGCGCTTGAATGGCCACAGTCGGATTGTTGCTAAATGCGAGTCGAACGTCTTCCGCTTGGTCGTTGGTCAAATTCAAGGTTGTTCCGCGAACCTGAAAGGACGGAGCAACCACGATAGGGTCGCTGGCTTCCGCCTGATCCATAGGAGCAGCCTGGGGTCCCCCGTAGACCAAGTCCGCTATCCTACGAGCGAGCAAAGCGGTACTTAAATCGGCGAAGGTCTTCATATGCGCTATGGCCTCATAAGTAAGGTTGGCGCGGTTGGTTTGTCTGCCAAGGGGCACGTCTACTTGAACAAAGGTTAGCGCGCCGGAGTGGATATCATCTCTGTGCATCGCGTCGTTGATGCTGTGGTGTGACCAAATAAACGCTTTTATGGTTACGCTTAGAACGCGTCGATCGGACAGGATCTCGACGCGGAATATCGTAGCTAGGCAAATAATACTGGACCCAAGAACGTGCAGGGCTACGGGGCGCTGAAGAACCCAGTCAGCTTCCGAGGTCATATCCGGAAGCATGAAACTCAGCCTCACGGGATAGTGGTATGGACGAGTTGTCGAGGCCGTCAGTCGATGGAAGAGGCGATCGTCTTACGCGGAATCGATCGCTCGAAGGGATCTGCACGATCCGCTAACCCCGCGTGGTCACTTTCCTGCAGCCGCCAAACCCGGAGCGAAACCAACCTTTCGTCGGAGTGCATGGGAAGGCACTGGCGGACCAGCTTGCACAAGGCTTCACGAGCCTCGGGGAAAGCCGGCCATTCCGAAAAACGCATAGCGCAGGAGACGTTAGCCCGTGTGGTAGCCATCACGACATCGTCTTCCCTAACGTCCTTGAGGTTAAAATTGCAGATCGAGTCGAGTCAGGGTAACGGCGTCAGGCGCTCCTTCAAACACAGTCCTAACAGAGGCAGCTGTTCCTGCCCGCGTGAGTTTGCGCGATAATATGATGCCGTAAACAGGCTCTGGGAGCGTTACTGGCGTCACGAATGCAAACGATTCTGCGCGAAAAAGGTGGGTAGAATTCATATCGAGCGCTGTAGTGCGAGGGTATCGCGACGCGGTGAGGGTGTTTTCGGGATCCCGAAGAGCTTGTCGGGTGGGCTTCATTTCGCACATTGTGTCGCGCTACTGAGGACGACCACATCGGGACGACGGCAAGACCGTCCAACAGCGGGAACGCCGCGCGCGATCACGTCAATGCTTGGACCGGAACCCGGCGCGGAAGGAAATGATGCAGACTCACCTGCTTGATCCAATGCTACCGGATCTGGTGGTGCACTGTCCATGGCTTGAGAGAGAAAGAGTTGAGAGCCGGTTCGAGTCTCCTGTAAGAGTCGTTTAAGTTGCAGTCAAGGCTGATTACCGTGAATATAAGCGTCGCGAACAAAACGAGCTCCGAACGGAAAAGATCGTCGCAAAGAACGTATGCAATAAAAATTCGTTAGGATGTTCAGAATAGAGGAATGAATAGATGAGCAATAAACAGAAGGAATTGGTATCGGAGGGCACGAATGGTGCGAAAAGCTCTAAATAAAGAGCGACATCTCAGCAACCGATTGTAAAAAGGTCTTTGTGATGGACCAACCGGTCATAGAGAAGTGCGACGTGATGTGAAACGAGTGTTATAATGATGAGACGGCACTGGAGATTCGGTGGTAAGTTGTTCCGCCCTTACCTCATGAGAGTAGCCTGGCATTGTTAACTCCGTAGTACCGGCGGCCGACAGAGCCACCTGCCCTTCGACTGGGGTACATTGCTAGGTGAATACTTGACCAGAGAGCTCGTAGCAGCGCTTTACCCGGTTCATGTGCCCTCGCCGGGATGAGGATTGCAGGGCCGAAACGCTGACGATGGTAGATGAGGGTGGTCGACTTCAACAAGATAGGCGGATAGATAGGGGCCGAAGGTGAATACGATGGAAGGTTGCTGTTTATACTTCTTTATCTTTACTTTATACTGCTGTTTATACTGAAGATCGTCGAAGTTCCTGGCGGAGCACCAGGCGGCGTGAAGAGTGGCTACCAAATTTTCGACATAGAGCCCGGCGTCGCCCGAAGAGGGCGTGTGACGCTCCAACATGTTTATTAAGCAGGTCAATATTGAATATTGGGTCCCTGCTAAACATTAAAAAATACGGAATGTTATTGGTGCTGGTGGGAACCGAGGTATTGTACATGAAGGCGCAAGCTTTAACGTACCTGTCCTAGTCGAGTTGATTCTAAGCGATATAGGTACGAAGCATTGGTTGAAAGCTGGCAAAAGGCGAACGTTCGCGTGCTTCTTTGCTTTCATGATGGTAAGATGACGTAAAATAACGGCTGATGCGCAGTAATCGTCCGACCACAAAAAGAATTTCTCCCTTAAAATAAGAAGCATTGTCGGACACTGGTTGCGTCATTATGCCATAGACCAGGATGCACTCTGTTATTATCGCGTAGGCTACGGGGATCGTGGGACAATCCGGCAGGGGGGGGGGGGGGGTGGCAAGAACATACTTCGAAAAGTGGGCAATCATGGCTAGGATGCATTTATTGCCGTTCTAAGAGGTTTGGAGTGACCCCGCTAAATCGGGGTTAACCCTATCGAAAATAGCGCCGCGGTCAGAAGTTCGCGGTTAGCTTGCTGAGTCCGCTTACGTTGACATTGTTCGCAAGAACGAACCAAAGCAAAGTGGTCCTCCGCCAAATGGGGCTAGAAATACCTACGTCATATCTTGGCCAGAGCTTTGCGTCAATTGAAATGACCACCGGTTGAAGGACTTGAATAGAGAGCGAAACAGACATACTCCTTGAGCTTCTCCGGAACACAAGTCGCTAACGACGCACTTCGGACTGGTACGGTCTTGGGTTTCTATAAACAAACGCTCTTCCAGATCACACAGTGCTCCGCGATGGGGAGCAAGAGGGCCCTTGTTCGTCGGACACTGTGGCCGGAAAACGCTGAGTCTCCATGAAGTTGGCGATCGATGGGCAAAAGCCGTCTTGCCTTTGCTCCAAGAAAGCGTCATATGGACAAATGGTGCGCAATTGACCGAAACAAAGAATGGACGGGCAAACCATCAGGGGTATGTACCTTAAATCGAACCTTCGTACGAACACAAATCTTAAGTAGAGGTGGAAATTCAATCACGGAACTCAAAGAATATCTGAGCTAATTGTGGCGTTCTCGGAGAAACCTCGGCATAAGATAGATCGATCCGTTCTGGACCTTAACAGGTCTCTATGATGGGGCGAACCGCCGTGTTATTTAATGTTTCGACAAGTTTTTGCCGGACTCAGGGACGATACTGGTATTTTCAGTGGGCCGAATTGCTCGCACAGGCGCACAGCACGAGAGATCTGTTGACCCTTATAGAGTACCGCTGGTCGAGGAGATGGTTGACAATTAGTAACATCGTCGACCGGGAATTAATAACTGCGGGTGTCACAACGAGCGATCTGTCGGAAGGATGGTTGCTCTGCGTAGTTAACATTAGAGGGTGGTCATCGGTCTTATCCGTCTGGCATGACACAAATGTCTCCCCTGAAAGAGGGAGCTACGCGGACCGTGACTGGTTCTCTTACTGGAGGATCCTCCTGCGCTGGGATTGCACAGAGAATCTTGACCGCTTCATTAGCCACAGAAAAGGTGCGGGTATTATAATCTCATTCCCCACTATAATGTTATAATAGTATGACACATCTGGAATGCAGGAACCTTCCGTGATGTAGACTGGGTCGAAGGTGGGCGACTCGATGTGGAACCTGAGGAAGGCACCACTCAGTAATCGAGTAGGAGTTCCAGACGATCGCATCTAAAAATATCGGGGAGTTCCTGTTGCGTATCGCATGCGAGAGCTCTTGGCACGTCGCCAGAAATGGTTGATACTCTTCGATTCGACATATTCCACCGCTGTTTGCTCCAATATTACATCTGTAACCTTTATTCTGTTGTTTGTTCGCGTTTCGTTCCGCATGATTTTTCGTTGGAACTGTTTGTGAAAACGCGTTAATAGGAATCTGTTACGATTCCTGTTTCATCTTCAAAGAATTTTAATGTAAAGGCCAGCTCCAATAAAGAGCACTACTGATGCTGCCAATCACAGCGAAGATTCATCGCATTCTTTTGTCTTAATGGATTGACGGTCGGTTTTGACGGATTTTGCTGCGACATAGCTGCTTGGGGATTCAATTTTTGGTCATGGTTTCAGTCATGTGCGTAAAGCCATCGGTTGAGTCGCAGAAGGTTCCTTATTGTGGTTGGAATATATTATCAAGCAATTACTGTTAAACGAATGGCGCAGATCGGTTAAGGAGATTGTCTTCTATGAGCGCCACCGCTTCCTTGGGTCTCTTCAAGGTAGTTCTTTTATAAATGGTTAATCACTGGTTAATCAGGTTTTTGTCACTGCCTTTTTGTGAAAGCAATCCCTCATGCTGCAGTTGAACATTCACTGGTCATTCACAAGAATTATCAAAGGTTTCAAATTTTTTCTTCGAACCTTCTCGGGAGATTACAAAAATACGCGGGAGTTCTGAATCGTTGACAAAATTGTTCCACCTGTTTAGATTTTTTGTTAGTGAATTCATGGCATCGAAGGACGTTGTGCATCTGCCCTTTATCGACTGGTCACAAGCAGAATAGCCTTGAGCAAGTTGACAAAGATCTTCAGGAAGAGGAGTTTACTATCAAGAACCAAGTTTCAAAGTGAATACCGCCGTTTTCTCCTAATCCTATTTTAACGTGGTTCAATTTTCATGTGGCACAACTCCGTTCTGAATCCTACTCTCAAGGCACAGAAGAATAAGGCAGTAGCTCAGAGGTAGCTAAAGAGCTCTAGAGAGCGAAGAAGCTTAGCGAGCGGAACAACGAAAGAAGCGAGATGCAGATAAGGGCGGCGAGAATCAAAGCCGAAGAACTGCTGCCGCCAGTGTAACTATACACCAAATGAGGTATTTATGACACCAAGGAGATAAAAAAGTGTTGTTGATGTACTACATAATGATTTCAAAGCTCACATGCAATTGGTATAGTTATGAAAAACTTCACTTCACACGGGGGTTAAGGAAGATCCTTTCACGGCATCGGGGTGAAGGGAGTAGGACAAGTATACTCTACCAGGAGGGCATTCGATTGCTTAGAGTGTCTATAAGAGCGAAAAGCTTAAGAACATCAACAAGTTCCTAAGCGAGCCAATTTATAACACCATCAACGAAACATTAAAAACATTAAGAAATAAGAGAAATAGAAATAGTAACAGAATACTAACGGTACTCATAATTGCTCGAGGAGGCCACGAACTGGTGCGAATTGGTGGCATCAAACTCCAGTCGAGAGAGTTCTACGGCAGGAATACGGTATCGCGGTGGCGGAGAGCGGATATCTGAGTGACCGGAAGAGTCGGTTTGTGACGGCTCCTGTTGGGAGCGGTTGAAGAAACAGGTCTTCAAATTGGGGCAGCCGCCTTGAATAATTAAAGTGAGACACAGAACAGCAAAGCTACTAGGCAACCGAGCAGAGACAAC